ATACATACAATAGAGATACAATAGTCTTACCCTTTGATATTGGACATGATTTCTTTAAATGCCTACGCGACGAAAAATATTATGTTAATTACTATTATCAATATTGTATTATGTTAATTTATATAATTCTTCCGTCCGTGTGCACGTTAGTGAATCTAAACTAAAACTAAATGACTGGACCGATTTTGATGAAATTTTTTGTGTGTCTTCAAGTAAGTTTGAGAATGGTTTAGATTCACAGTTGAATATAATAATAAGTTTACAACTTATTCAAAAAACCTTTAGAATAATCTAGTTAGAAAAGTTGAAAACCTTGACATATTTGGCGATTCCCTTCCAATATTTAAGAACAAAATTATAAAAAGTTGTTGTTGAACCTCAGCCTCGGTCTTGGTCTGAGGACTCGGGTATTACTGTCCTTGTTGTCTTTCTATTTTTAATTTTTTATTATTATTTATAGTATTGTTAAATCTCTATTAATATGTTAATGTAATGCATGCTGTGATTGCCTATTATTAGAGTTGCAGTTATCAATTGCTCTAAACATATCAATGTTATTTTATGTCTTACTGTAAACCCTGTCGGTAATCTTTAAATAAATAAAAAAATAAAAAAATTGTAAGTTTCAGATTTGAGGCGTGTGTGTATAGAGGACATTATTTATAACTTATTTATTTATTTATAACTCTGCTACTTATTTATATTGACGCGCCCGGACTGCCGACCTGCTGACCTTGGGCAGTCAAAGGTCTACGTTGGCACTGGTGGGGCACGTTACAAGTTGGAACAACCGTCCCAGCCAGTGCTGGTACGAGGTATAATTGCGCTCGTGGTTGTAGCACAGTTGTCAGTGTACTTATAGCCGACAACACAACTTTAGCTTCCGGTCTCAAAGTGGTGGTGACACTTGAGTTGTAGTGAACACACCTTATAACTAGATTTAATTCAGTATAAGAGTGCAAGTCGCTGTCTGGCTTTGAATATCACGTTACTAAGCTGCCGCCCTGTCTGAACTAAGTTACGCGCAATATCTCTACGTACTGCGATTCAATATCCAATAAATTATGAACTTCAAATGTAATGTTCATAAAAGAGATCTCTTCTGTTCAAATAAATAACATAAAGCAGCTTTGACAATCGCGTCTGTTTGTGTTTCAGCATCTTGAGTGCACGGGAATGTTTTGTTTCATTTACAAGGGAATCGCTGCCTGTGATCGTCATTTGCAAGGGAGTCGCACCTTGTGAAATGAATAAAATAAATTCATAATTAACCCTTATTTACTGACCAAAGGTAATTAGATTATTTCCTTTGACCTCTAAAGCATCCGCGGTATCATGAGGAAGGCTATCATTGTATCGATGATACCTACTACCACTATTTTGCCGACATTCAAATCTTCTGGCACAGACCAATTACTGTAACCTATGTTTTGGTGCGGGCTGTATGGGCCGCTTGCTGATGATAAAGAAAACTTGTGCTTCGTGCTGCAATACGGTTTATTTCCATGTTTAAACACTTGATATTTTATAAATATAATAAAGACGACCGCTTGCGGTGAAAAGAAAAAAAAAGAGAAAAAAAGACACCAACAATGTTGCCAGTCATAATATAGTTTAAAGTCGGAGTTGCCAGCAACCTAGCATACGAACTTGCTCCTTCCACAATGAGTAAATAATGGTAGGGAAAGCCACAGAAGGCTTAATTGGTAGTATAGCTGGTTGCTGGGGGAAACTGCAAAAACCAATACAAAACTTCCAGCAGCTAATATCATTCAATGAGTAAAATAGTAGTAAACACGTGTTATTTTAATGCAACTGAAGTTGGCGGCGCCTGCGGTGGTGTTCCATAGACTTGATCACACGGTCCATAGCGGACAGCCTCGTGCGCTCAAAATAAAATATCTTCAGGCAAACCCGTTCCGATCTCGTAGTGCCACATAAACTTTTTACACGTACAGACATAACACTAAAATATGAGTTTGAAATCTGAACAATATCCCCTCGGGTCGCAATAATCGTTACGTCTGCCGTCACCCTGATATAAGCCAAGTTTTAGGGGTCGTTCCCGGGATGGGAACCCGTTACGGAGCCGTGTTATCGGTTATTCACCACAACTAATATTATGCCGTATATTTTTTATTGAGATTGGCATTGTTTTGTAGCCTTGTAGCGCTGGGGTAAATATCACAACGTTCGTTCACTTTCTCAGGTAATCTTAGTAAGGGTTTCGATTTTTTATTTCTATTATTATTTATCATTTATATATCACATCATTTAAAAATTTATATCATATATTCAACGTGGCACCTAAGCTGTTTTTTTTTTATTGCTTAGATGAGTGGACGAGCTCACACCCCACTTGGTGTTAAGTGATTACTGGAGCCCACAGACATCTACAATGTAAATGCGCCACCCACCTTGAGATATAAGTTCTAAGGTCTCATGTTTTAGTTACAACGGCTACTCCACCCTTCAAACCGAAACGCATTACTGCTTCACGGCAGAAGTAGGCAGGGCGGTGGTACCCACCCGCGCGGACTCACAAAAGGTCCTACCACCAATGTTATACTTTTATCTCGGCTGGCGGTGGAGCAGGTGAGACATTACTGCAGGAATTATTTCAGAATCTACACTCAATTGTATCCTACGTAATTCAACGCATTCGTATTTATGAAAAACAAATTACTTGATATCATTTGTACCGCCTGCTATTTTCACGTTACATAGCGTGCGACTCACAGATATGATCACACCATCAAGTCAATTAAAGAACTTTCGCTTAGTTCCACTGCTATGAAGATATTTAATTAGAAGCGACTGTGCTGCGGGAAGGAACGTTACACTTAACAAACTTGCCAAAGACAATACCAAGCCTGAATTAGCGGCTGAACACACAACGTTGTATGTCACACTTGTATAATCCTGCGCTCCGTGGCGCGCGGTGTGTGTCTGTGTGACGTGTGAAGAACACGCATTTGTTAGAAACTCCCACAATCACAATGCGTGATAAATTACGATTCGAAGAGAAGGCAGCTGCTGCACTTATAATATGTAAAATAACATTGGAACATCCACCTCGTGGGTGCAAGAATAAACATATTGTTACGTGCTGGGGTTCGGGGTAAATAAAAATTCACCAAAGTACCTACAACATAAAAACTGTATTCAACACTTAAAACACTTCACAAACACTTTAAAGCTCTCAATTCGCTTGTTCCGCTTCGCTTCAGGCGATCCGTTCGCTGTTTCGCTTAGAGTAGTTCCGATTACTAACTGACTGCGTGCCGTCTCTACAACTCTTTTATAGTCGATACCTCATTCCTAGAATTATCGAGAATATTCTACACATCTCTAGTAGTAGTTTCCGCTATCTGACAATAGATGACGCTGTACTTCTCGAACGTTGTTTCTGAATTAAAAAAAAACATGTGAACGTGGATAATCGGATGTTGCACATTTTTTAAAAGAAGAACTGTTAAAGTTTGAGTCAAACATCTCAATTTTTTTTCCTACCTATTCTAGTAACCTCGAGGCGTTATTCTAGATTCACCGAAAGAGTAGGTGAGTTCACGGGGCTCAAACGTGACGACGTTGCTAACACGAGCCCTAGCAAGAGCCGCGCTTCGTAGAATCTACCACTGGATCGAAAACGCGACCCACTGAGAAGATCCGGCGAGAAACTCAGTTGGCTAAATCTCAAACCATGAAGGTTCTATGTCAATTCGAAGTACCTATTACAATAAAAAGGCAATTTCATATTTTAACCCCTATTATTATACTTTAACTATCCTGGTAGAACAATAACGGTAATACTGCTGAGATTCAAGATAAAATAACGACTACATTTTACCCAAAACACGTTTATTGACAAATCAGGATCACAAATTAGCTTGATGGGCCGCCAAGCGTAATGACCGTCGTAAAGTAGTTCTCCGTCGGTCTCCCTTGGACTGTCCGCAGGTCTCGCTGCAGCTGTGACTCAGCAATCCTTGAATGTTCAGGTGAAGAGTGCCGGGGCACAGGGAGTCAATAGCTCACTTAAGGAAAATCGATCGACTTGTTCAACGGTTGTAACAACTATAAAAGTATTCGTGCAGTTTACTTACTAGATTTTTATTATCTACTTAATACATAAATTATAATACATTTTCTTATAAAAACGCTAATGGCGTATCAAGTAAATAATTAAATAATTATGCTCCCTTGCTTACACCATTCAGTTTCTTAAGTTTATCTTATTATATACATGTCTCCGTACGCCACTGATACTCGTACTGTGAGAATTAGGTACGAGGCAAGCTCCGGGTCAGACGTTAATAAATCAGTTCGGTTTGTTCGCGAGTTTCCTTCCTTGTGTTCCCTTGTATTCTGCGCGACTGTTTGTCGCTACCTATCATCGTGGCCTTTCCTCCTTCACTCGGAACGGAGCAGCGCGGCCGCCCTCAAATGTGACGAGTGTCCCGACCTCGCACTGCACTGACTGCCGTGCGGCTTCATCTCGTATATAATGTTTGTATTTTATTACTTCCGACAATTCGAATATTTCAGTCTACGTAGTTATGACGACTGATGTGTTATTTATTTGTCGACATTTCAATATTACGCTAAAGACTATTTTTTAAATATATCTTTAAATTTACATTTAGATTTTAAATACATAAAGAACTAAGAAAATCTTCGGTTCTGTTTTTCTTGTACTTTCTACTTCACTATTTCACTATAAGAGAATCCCAGGATGTTAGATAAACACTAGACATTTTAAAGTACCTTAAAAGTACAAAACATGCAATTTATTGTTGTAAACGAATGTATCCATTTTATTTTTTTACTAACAATCACGGTACCTTAACTGGTCCCGTGATAAGTTCGTAAAGAACTTGTGTTACAAGTAACAGATAACGGAAATAAATGTAAGATTTTTGTTATACACATACTTATATTTAATATACATCCATAACCCTGGAAAAGACATTTATATTTATCATACAAATATCTTCCCTTGGCAGGATTCGAACCCGCAACCCCCGTATGTAGTGACCATGTCACTTACCACTACACCAGATGGCCGTTAAATCCATTATCACAGGGACGTTCCCTCTGTCGAGCCGTACTACGTACATATTTATGTACATACATAATAATATGTCTTGTACATATCTATTGTCGCGGAGGTTATTAAGTGCCACGTATTGAACCGGTTAGGATTGGTTTTGATTGTTTATAATGGTCGATGTATAATTGGACCACGTGTCGATGTGACCATGACAACTGTCAGAAATAATGAAATTAAACCAATAATTCTGAGCAGGGCTCGCAACAAGTGGACAGGATGCTGTAGCGGGCCCGCTCTCCACGGTCGCCCCCCGCCTCACGTGTTCAACACTTTACGTGATGCTTTGTATTGGCGGACTGACTCGCGAGTTCCCATGTGACGATCAGGTCCTTGGTGGTCCGCAAAAGCTGCGAGCAAGAACTGCAACACCTTGTCGTTCAAGAGTCTCGGAGCGTCGTTCGCCATCAGGTAATCCACGTGGTTGAACTCAGGGTCCGGTACGAGGTAGATTTCTGTTCTGGTTTCCAAATCTTGGTACAGTTTATCAACATCTTGTTCGCTAGACAATAAATCATTCCTTGAGTACAGCAGGTAAATGGGAAGAGTGATTTTGCGCAGATCGTATTCTGGTGGAGTTTCTGAATTGTATATTTTCATATTATTGGTGGGTCCGTAGTCGAACTGCTGGAAGCGTCCCGCGGCGTCGATCTCCTGCGCGAAGTGAAGGATGGTCTTCATGGACGTGCCGGTCCCGAGGTGCGACAGGAACACCGGCAGCAGCGTCTTGTTAAACTGCTTCTCGTCGGTGCCGCAGATGAAGAATATTGCGTTTTTACAAACGTACGTGTCCACGTCGTCGGAGCTGCACGCGCTCATCATTTGTCCGAAGCCAGACTGTTTCGGCACAAATTCGCCGTTTTTAATAACGTTCATTCTTGCCGCGTTGGCGACAACCGGAGCTAGCGTTTTGACCGGCGACTTGATATGAGACAAGTAGACGACGGGGCCGAGCGCGAGCCCCGCCCGCAGCACCGCGTTGTACTCCGGCCGCAGCGCCAGCATCGCGAACAGCATCGTGGAACCCATCGAGTGGCCCATGTACGCGATCTTTGTGTCCGAGCCCTTCCTCTCCCTGATATAGTCTATGATGGCCGGGATGTCGTGCTGGGCGACCTCGTGCCACGAGAAATTCCAATATTGAGTCGAACTGCTCTTTAAAGTGGTGTGCTCCCTCGAATATCTATTACCTCTTATGTTTGGCATCCAGACGTCGTAGCCGGCGTCCGCCAACACGAAGGCTAAGGATTTTCCAGGCCCGTTCAGGACCCAGTCGGCAGAGCTCGCAAACAAGCCGTGCTGAAGTATCACGGTATTCGATGGAGTGTCGCCGCCGCTTCGAGCCTGCGGTATCCTGTGAATGTTTAACACGTATCCCTGGGAGATGAGCGAGTGGGTCTCACAGCGGTAGCCACGCCGCGTGATCATCGCGGGCACGCTCAGCACCACGTCGGGGTCTTCCAAGGACGGATTCTCTTTATCTTCTAAGAAGTTCGTCCACGAGCTCGACAGCTTTATGTCTTCCATGTAGGAGGACCATTCTTCGATGACCTTATCTTTTTGCGTTTCGATGTAGTTACGAGCGTCTTCGAAGTTATTGACGAGGCTTCTCGAGCTTCCGAACAAATCGAACCCTTGGACGGAGACACGCGCTAGTGCCACCAAAATAACTAAGAACACGTGCATCTTCATTTTCGTACATTCAAGTAGATACTGAGCGTGCGCAACTAATCGCAAGCTTTTATACGACTGCCTGTACATAGTCGTTGATATCTGGGGTCAGACTATGACGTCCTCGCCGATACAAATGTTAACAAAAATAACAGTTTTAGGGTCCAGATTACCATGTGCCGTTGTTTTATTTGAATAACGCTGATGGACCTTTCTGGTAAAATATTCTGTAAGACTAAATAATTATTAGAAGCATTCTATTGAACGGGCTCTCGATGGGTTTTTTAAAGGGATTACGATTTCAACATGAGCTCCTGGCATTTCAGCGCTGCTGCGAGAGACATTATCATGGATTGGGACAGTGGGAGCAGACAGACTTGTCTACCCTTTACTATTAAGGTGGACTTCAGTCAATCAGCTTTGCTTCATAGTAACTGAGCCTCTACCTCGCGTCGTAGGCCCTCTGGTCGTAGGTGACCGTGTGGTCGTCTGTTTTAATTAGAATAAAAAATGATAACAGTACGGAACCATTATCACTTATAAAAAATACCAACCAACCGGGCTATTAAAATACTTCGATGCGAATAAATTGTTTTTTCCACTAAGCTACAAAAAATATGTAATAATGTTTTTGTAGGTATACAAGACGATAACATTATGATCTGTAATATATGTCAGTCCTCTCTGCGCATAGGTAGGTAGCTACGTACCTATTTACCTACCTACGTAACAATGGCCCCGATTCTTCAAAAACAATAGCAGTAAACAGGATCCGTCTACTGATCAGTAGCGTGGGCACGGCGGGCCCCGGAACCAGCCACCTGCTACTCTCCTCAACATCGTCAGCCCCGATTGTTCGAGGTGACAAACTGTCTTAAAACTCATTTAGCACACAGCGGCGGGGACCTGATTCCAGCACTTAATGTAATGTTACGGAAATAATATGACCTCTACCCGCGCACTTTAGTGCTTATAAAAATTGTTTTCCTATAGTCGGCACCTCTCGTGACCGCGGCTGACGCAACTCTGTCGATACGAAATGTTCAGCGAAACCACAGAGGTCAAATAGAATAGGAAAACGTAGTGAAACTGTTTAGCGTGTGTGCGACCGTGTAACCAACTCTGAGAGCCACGTCCGCTCGTAACGTGTAGTGTGTTCACGTAGCCTCCATGTTCCGAGCGTAGTGGTAAACTAAATATCGGGTCGTGTCTCGCCAATCAACCAGGCTTGCGATCGTCCGAGGGTTGAAATCAGTTAAAGCTTAAAGATTTAAAAAACTGCTTGCGTCAAATCGTGTGTATATGAGTTTGGTCGTCGACATTAATATAAAGATAATATAAAGAACAGTCTTGTTAACAAAACAATTTGCGAACAATATCGAGCACAGTGCGTGTTTATTATTTTCTTCTTATCAAGTTACCCACATTGCTCATTGTACATATTTTTATTTCGGTACATGTTTGTACCGACTTTCTTAGAATTAAGTAAGTCGTATCGTGAACAATAACTAAAACGTCACAAGGCGATCTTGTACCAGTTTTAATATTTATTCGTATCATTTACATCATTTACATCTACATACACATTTACTTATTACTTACGTGATTCATTAAAAATCCAATCGAACTCGCGAATGAGCGAAGACAAAACCTACGTTTGTCAGCTGATTTTCTTTGTTTTTCTATTAACAAGCTTTACATATAGCTTTATCAAGAACAAAATTGCATTTTTTTTAATGTCAAAAAACAAGGAAACAATAACCAAAAGAGAAAATGTAAAACAATAACATAATTAATATACATTTTGAGAGACTTGGGACGTGAGCGATCAGTAGAATTTCATTGATTAGGCTAATACTAATAATTGTAATAATAATAGCTTGTAATAACAAAAACTTATAATAGTACATACTTTAATCACATCTATGTATGTATATAATGGCCGCGACCGCACGTGTCCAAGTGAGTGGCGTTCTCTAATATTCAATACATACATAATTCGTTTATAAATTAAAATATGAAGTATTGAAATAAGAAGTAGCAACAAGGTTGCAAGCTTTCAGCTGCACAAAGTTACTAAGATTCCTGTGTAGCCGGAATACACACTCCAGACGAAAAGGAAAGAGATTACAGACGTTGCTTTCCGATTGGCGTCGCGGGGAGAGGTCCGTGCTGTGGGTACAGCCGCCCTGCTTGTGAAGAACACAACATGCTTACATTCGATTTCTCCTTCCCGTAATCATAAACAAAATATCTGTAGGTAAAACTTTAATTAAATTGCAATTTAAGATACAAATAAGCGTTATCGACGTCTTAGGTAATAGATTATTGAACTCCGTGTCAGGGCTAGCTCGCAGCGCGCTACATTACTTTAATTAATCACTAGTGTAGCCTAGAATTAGAGAGACCGGATTTAGATGAGGTGGGAGACGACAGTATCAACAGTACAGACTACAGACTAGTAATAAAGTTTACGATTTTTAACATCCTGCCTATAGATAATAATACACTTACTTATGTTCACATCGCATATGGATATTGACGATACGTTGTATCTGTCTAATTACAATTCTATATCCGCTTCCAGGGTCATCGTAACAACTCCGAGGTCGACTGTCGATGTATCAAAGTAAAGATACGTTTAACCCACATTACTACATCTTCAAAATTCATGTTCATTATTTAAAGAAAATAGCCAAAGTCATGAAGACATTGAGGGAAAAGCGTATGAAATACAAATTTTAATTTGATTGAAGTGAATCGTTCGTTCGCTATGCGCTACGTAATTAGCATACAATTATTATTTTCAATACAGATAATGGCGAGGGCCTCGCTAATAATTTTATTCAAGCATTCACATCCGAGCAATATCCGTTTAGTATTAAAAATGACCCCGCACATGTTTAGTTTGTGTGTGGTTATCTGAAGGGTGTCTCAGAATGTTTTGAGTCTTTCATTAGACTGTTACGTGACACGCGCAGGCGGCGGGGGGCAGGGGGAGGGGGAGGGGCGAGGGTCTGCAATTATTATTTTTTGCTTATGTGGTTGGACGAGCTCCCAGCCCACCTGGTGTTAAGTGGTTACTGGAGCCCATAGACATTTACAACGTAAACTTGAGACCACTCACCTTGAGATATAAGTTCTAAGGTCTCAGTATAGTTACAACGGCTGCCCCGCCCTTCAAACCGAAACGCATTACTGCTTCCCGGCAGAAATAGGCAGGGCGGTGGTACCTACCCGCCAAGAGGTCCTACCAATAGTAATTACGCAAATTATAATTTTGCGGGTTTGATTTTTATTACACGATGTAATTCCTTCATCATGGAAGTCAATCGTGAACATTTGTTGAGTACGATTTCATAAGAAATTAAGTACCCGCCTGGGATTCGAACTTAATAAGATATGGTTCTCCGATGAATCAAATTTTCACATCAATGGCCACGTGAATAAGCAAAACCGTAGTAGATATTGGGCTTTCGACAATCCATCAGGACTATATCGGAAACAGCTACGAGGGCGGCACTGAAAATTTCGGGAATTAACGAAGTGACACAACATTACTATTTAAAAATGTATTTATTGCTTTTCGAAGTATTCTCCGCGAAATTTGACACATTTTTTCACACGATGGAACCAATCATTGAAGCAACCCTTCCATTCGGAAGTTGGGGTCTCCAAAATGGCCGTTTTGTAGGCGTCCACAGCTTCTTCAGGTGATGAAAATCTCTGTCCACGCAATTTATTCTTTATTTTAGGGAAAGTATAGAAATCATTAGGGCTTAGGTCGGGGCTGTACGGCGGATGGTCTAATAATTCTATGTTTTCTTGCTCTAAAAACTCTTTTGTTCTGTGCGCGGTGTGAGAACTCGCATTGTCGTGATGGAGGATGATGCGGCGGTTGCAGTTCTCTTTACGGAGTTCAGAAACGACCTGTGGCAAACAAATGCTAGCATACCATTCTGCATTAACCGTTCTTTGTCCCTCAAGAGGAATAGTCGTAACATGGCCGGTTTTGGAGACAAACGTGGCCACCATTTTTTTTGCAACACTCCGTGAACGAACAATTTTTGTTGGCTTTAACTCATTTTCGAACACCCAAACTCGTGACTGGTTTTTTGTTTCGGGTTCGTACGCGTATATCCAGGATTCGTCACCTGATACAATGTTGTATACAGCATTTGAGGATCCTGCGTGGAATCTTTCGAGAGTTCTGACGCACCAAGTAACGCGAGCCGCTTTTTGCTCTTCACAGAGCGAATGCGGTATCCATCGGGAAAACAACTTTTTTACACCTAATTGTTCATGCAAGATTATTTGTATTTGACTCATGCCAATGTCTAAAGTTGCCTGAATTTCGCGGTATGTCACATGTCGATCTTCCTCAATCAGCTTACGCACAGCATCAACGTTTTCTTGGGTGACTGCAGTTTTTGGACGACCTTGACGGGGATCATCACTGAGCTTGACACGTCCACGTTGAAACTCAGCAAACCAGCGATAAATTGTGGTTTTGGATGGGGCTTCATCACCAAATGCAGAAATCATCCGGTCAACACACTGTTTTTGTGTTAAACTTCGAAAGTCATAATAAATCATCGCTCTTGAATTTTCTCGAGTCAATTCCATTTTCTCAACGACTAAACAAGTTTGACAAAACCTCGTGACAAGACCGAGAATCTTTTTTTAAATAAATAAATGGTATTCGATTTTAAAAACCAAGGAGTTTTCAATTAAAAAGATTTTAATATGACAGGAACAGCGGAAATATTCAATTCCCGATACTTTTAGTGCAGCCTAGGTAGACTCGCCCGAAGTTGTTGTATGAGCTGCCCTATCAAATCAAGCAATTATCGGCTTATTGTTTTGAGGATGGCGCTGGTCGTGCTTAAGCTGTTAATTCCAATAGATATTCCCATATGATTCGCACTCTTTAGCTAGAGAAATTCAAAGCCATGCTGGATACAATCGTAATACATTTTTTCAACAAGAGGAAACCACTTCCTACGTGGAAATTGATGCCTTAGCCGCCGATTTATTCCCTGCAACTATAATAAGTCACCGCGGACATCAACTGGCGTCCAAGAAGCCCGGAATTAACACCTTTTTTTTCGGTCAGGGGGCCGAACCTCGTAGATGTCCGCGCCCGGGGACACGCGGGGCATGTTGGGAGGCGACGACTCTATGGCAGCCCGTGAGGCCGCCTCAAGCCGTGTCGCTGGTGTCCGAAATACTCCGCTATTCTAGACCCAGAGCCGGAACCAACCTGCGGGGTGGGAGCACGATACACTGCTAACCGGTGCTCAGTAGAACTGTCCGCGCGGTCGCCTACGGGGGCCTTTCTTGAGCCCCGGCTCAGCGATGACCGATAAGCCTGCCCTCTCTCGTTCCGCCGCCTCCTGCGAGATGGTGGACTCACAGAAGTCAAGAATCGCCCTCCAGAACCGTCACTGCCGACGCCGCCACGCCGAGCATCGTGGCCACGACAACAACAAGTCTGGTCCTATTCGCGAGAAGAGGACACAGTGCTGGCACTCCGTCGCCGGTTCCCTTCCGGCCGATGAGCCTTGCGTCAACCAGCCCGCGAGGACCGACCGAGACCGCCGGGGTTGGAGCCTCCGCGACATAATCACTCCTTCACCCATAAATAAAATTAAGTACCTATTATTTTATTTCACATTAACAAGTACTAGAGGCCCCGCAGTAGTCGAAATTCGACTATAATTAATTGGAATTGTAAGTTTGTACACTATTATGATTGTATTTTATACTTCTATAATCACAAATTTTGCCAAGACTACACTATAAAAAATATTAACAAAGACAAACAATATTTAATCTATTCTCAATTTGACCACAGACGTCAAGAACAAAAGTTTGACAATAAATAGTATGCATGCGTGTGTGCGTCAAATACATGGTATGTAGTGTGTGTAATGTTTTCTTTATTGATTTAATGTATATTTTATGCATTATTTAAAAAAAATATTAGCATTGTGCACTTCTTCTCTACATTCTCTATAAGTGTGGAAAATTTCATACTCCTCCGTCCGCGCAATTTTCGTAAAAAGGGATACAAAGTTTTTGCTTCACGTATTAATATACCTAGTCAGGTTATAAATTCTGTCACATGTTTAATGTAAAATAATTGAAACAAGTTTATTCATTATGTAACCATTCATATACCAAAATGAACTTAACAAAACATAGATTCTTATGACACTAAAGTTTATTCAAAATGACCTCCGTGATTTTGAATACAGGCCTTCAATCTGCGCGGCCAGTCGTCTATCGCAGCACGAACGAGGTCCATGTCAATATCGGCGGCTGCCTTAATCAAGGATGTCTTGAGTGACTCCAAATTGGGATGAGGCTTTGAGCACGCCTTTTCCTCCAAGTGTTGCCATATCTTGTAATCTAACGGATTCAAATCTGGACTGGAGGAG